CCCTCTACTTGGTATATAGCCTAAAAGAGTAAGAACCATGACATGAACAGATACATGCACACCCATGTTCACGGCAGCAATTCACAATAGCTAAAAGATAGAAACAGCCTAAGTGCCCATTGGTGGGAAAAATGGGTAACTGAAATGTGGTACATAGACACAGTGGACTACCATCCAATATTAGACAATAAAGGTGAATCTGGGAAACCCCTCCTCACATGCACGGATCTAGAGGACATGATGCTGAGTGAAATTAGTCAAAAACAGAAGGACACATATCATGAGGTCACTGTTCTATATTTAAATAATTCAATAAAAGGTTTTCATTCTCGCCCCAAACATACATCCATTGTGTTCCAAGTAAACATGATCGTCTCTTTTATAACAGAACCCCTTTCTCACAGGGCTGTCACAGGGTCCCTCAGTGCACCCTCACTGTCTTCTCACACACTGGTTTTCAGGCAGGGTCATCACTAAATCACTACCCGTTTCCCCAAAAGTAAGACATCCCCCGAAAATAAGACCTACTTACAGTTTTGCCTCTCGCTGAAATATAAGGCACCCCCGAAAATAAGCCCCCCGAAGCTACCGTAACTCTGGACTTTGGACCATAGCGGTAGGCGCTGCCACGCAGCTCACTGTTGGCTGCAGCGCAGCCGGAGCAGACAGGAAGTGCAAGGTCTCTTAATAAAACAACAATATTCTTCTTCATGGAAAAATAGGACATCCCCTGAAAATAAGGCCTAGTGCATCTTTGGGAACAAAAATTAATATAAGACACTGTCTTATTTTCGGGGAAACAGGGTAGGAAACTACTAGCACCTCAAATGCCTTTCTATTTTTCACGTCATTAACCAGAAAGTGAAGTGTGCACACAGTGTGTACCTCCAGACCGGGATGGTTACCAGATTGGGGAGGAGAAGAGGGAAGAGGAAGGGACAGACAGGTATTATTTGGGTGACAGGAGAATAATAGTCAATGGCATAATGGGTTACATGCTAAGCTGCTAGTCTCAATGTTAGCAGTTCAAAACCACCAGCCACTCTAGCGGGACAGAGGCAGCCTTCTGTTCCCATAAAAAGTTACAGCAATGCCACTCTGTCCTTTAGGGTCACGCTGAGTGGGCCTCGGCTCGACGGCGGTGAGGGAGTGAAGAGGGAGATGGGGAGAGCAGAAACAGGGCAAGATAAGTTGGATGTAGACCTGAGGCTCTGCTCTGTAAACTTTCAGCTACTCAGAATAAAAAGTTATATAAATAAAAAAAAACAAAACAGAGCAAAAACCCCAAGAACAATTTCCCTTGAGTTGGTTTCAACACATGGTGACTTCATGTACATCAGAGGAGGGCTGGGCTCTGCAGGGTGTTCGGTCGCTGATTTTTCAGAAGTGGATCACCAGGCCTTTCTTCCGAGTGCCTCTGGGTGGATTCCGATCTTTGGTGGGTAGCTGAGAGCATTCATGGTTTGCACCATCCAATGACCCTGTAGTCACATCAGCTCCTCCAGATGCCATGCATCTGGAAGCACACCGTGCTTACCTCTGTTTCCCGCAGCTACACTCCTCCGGCTTCCTTCTCTTGAGATGTCCTCTCACTTCTCGTAAATTCTTAATTTTATCCTGAAGAGCTTCAATCTGGAAAAGAAATATTTAAACAATGGCTGTCAAGATCAGGATTGCCTGCACCAAGCACTCCTGACTCCACCTTGTTTTCCGTCTTTCCTACTGAGGGAGCTTCAAACCGTTCTCGGGACAATTCCATGATCTTCGAACTCCATTTTCCCAGGGACTTTTGGAGCCCCTCTGGAATGATAACCACCCATTTGAAATGGTTATTAATTTGGAAACAACCAGGGCATAAATGAGTCTACCTCTACATTTCATCCAATAGGTTACAACTAAACAGGACAATCTCTTTTCTAAATGAACCCTTCTCACAGGGCTTTCACAGGGTCACTCAGTGCATCCTCACGTTTCTCACACAATTTTTCAGCCAGGATAATCACTAAATCACTAGGAAACTACAAACGCCTCGATTGCCTTTCTATTTTTCATGTCATTAGCCAGAAGGTGAAGTGTGCACACAGTGTGTTCCTCCACGCAGGCAGGGCAGGGCCGGAGAGCTGAGTGTGGGTTAGCAATTGAACTTGGGTTATGGATTGAATGTGTCCCCCAAAATATGCATTGGAATCATAACCCCTATACTTGTGGCTGTAACCCTGTGGGGAAATAGGATTTTCCTTGTTACGCTCACTCGATCATATTTGAGTAGGATGGGTCCTAAATCTAATCACTTTGAGTTATACGGAGGGCAGATAAGACACAGATCCATACACCTCGGAGAAAACAGATGCCGAGGGAAAGTCAAACAGGGAACGCCAGGGCAACCAAATAGGACGGAGACCCTGATTGAGACATTTATCCTTAAAACCCAGGCAAAAATACGTTTGTATTTTTGGGACATATACACGGGGTGTATATGTCCCAGCAGCACTGGGTCACTGAGACACAGCCATGACTCACCTCCTTATCAATGTAGGCCTTATGATCCTTCCAGGCCCGGGCTGATTGGTACAGTTCTCTTTCACAATGGATTGTGTCATTTGGAAGAATAAAACACCTACGAACACAAACAAACGGATCAGGAACAGTTTAGAAAAAATCAGGTAGCCTCCATTCTTAATCCGGAGGGATGCACGAAGCGCAGAGTGGACGAGTAGGCCGAGGTGAGTGACCGGGTCCCCAGGCCACAGGAGGAAGTCACAGAGAGGGCATCACGAAGATGACTTTGAAAAACAACTGTGAATGCGAACATCCTCATGAACAAATGTCACCCAAGCCCCAGTGTTGAAAGCCCCTGCAAGTACCTAAAGGTATAAAGGAACCCTGGTGACGTAGTGGTTACTCCCTGGGTTTGATCCGCCAGGTCAGCAGTTTGAAGCCACCAGTCGCTCCTTGTGAGAAAGACGGGGCTCTGTAGCCCCTTAAAGAGTTACATTAACTCACGGAGGCAGTTCTACCCTGTCCTGCAGTTTCTGTGAGTCAGCATCGACTCACTGGCAGCGAGAACAAGTACATAGAGTGCGGAGAAAGAGGTTTCCCAAGCTATGATGGCAATGGCTTGTTGGGAGAAATTGAGAGCCAGAAGGTGGGCATTCAGACCTGCATTTTGTTCAAAGGAGCCTGCCTTTGAGAATCCCCCTGTGTTCTGAAGCACAGGACCAGCCTGAGTGAAGACAGGTGCAATGTGAATAATGTATGAGAAATCAATCTCGGTTCAACTCGCTTAGCAGGTCACGTGAATGACTCTGGGCACAGAGATCGCTGCCAAAGACGAAAAGCTTGGGCTACCTCACCCTTCCCCACCCCGCCAAGTGATGCAATGATACAGAAAACAAAAATGTTGGGTCATACATTCAGAAAGAAAAGACCTGGAGATGAGGAATGCCAGTCAATTTTAGAAGGAATCAAGAACCTACCGAATCAATGAAAGCTATGCTGGAGTCCTCCCACCCCTGCCTTTTCTCTGAATTTTCCAAGACACTCTGGATTTAGAAGTTCCCGCGTAGTGTGAAGTGGAGCCCTGGTGACATGTTGGCCTGCTAACCACAGAGTCAGCCGTTCGGAACCACCAGTCGCTCGGAGGGAGGAAGATGAGGCTTCCTACTGCCATAAAGAGTGACCGTTTCGGGAACCCACCAGGGAGGTTCTTCCCTGTCCTGTCAGGTTGCTACGAGTTGACATCCATTCAATGGCAATGAGTTTGGTTTCGTGGCTTGGGTAGGATACGTGGCCAATGCCTTACATTTCCTCCCCACCTGCACCTCTGGGAGCTCACCTGCCAATCACACTCCTCCCTTGGGCTGTGTTTCATTTCTGAGGCCACGGCTGGGCAACTGCTCCGGGCAAAAGGACCTCCCAGAAATTATTCCCCTGTTTTCCAGGCGCCCACTCAAGTAACTGCTTATGGGGACAGGCACCTAACCTGCCTGTTAAATCAAGAGCTGACAGCGTTGCACTGGTTAGATGTACCACCTGACCACCTTTCACGTGACAGGGACGTAAACACTTCCCCCCACCCGCTTATTTAACCACTGGTTGTCCTGTAGCTTGTCTCCTTGGACAGCAGACTGCTAAATCTGGTTGCTTTACAGTAAAGAGGGACACCCAGGCTGAATTCTGCCCTAGTGAACCCCTCAAACTTTTCTTACTTGTGTGTCACTCTGACAGTGGCGGGCAAGCCCACAGCGTTGCTGTCAGCCAGCATCCCGTCCACATCCCTGCTGGCAGCCTGGAGACCCCCTGGCCCCTTGCGGCCTTCATCGTGTCGCTTGGCGATGACTCTTGGTTGCAACACTTGCAATTCTTCTTCCTCCAGGCTTATGTCATATATTTCACCTTCAAATTCGACGGACAAGGAGCGTGTCTGCCGAGTGTGGACAAATCTGGGCTTGTATTCTGGAAATAAGGAGGAAAATGTTAACACAGAGGGCCTTGGGTGGCATAAACAGTTTGTGCTTGTCTGCCGAGCTAGTTTGGTAGTTGGAGCCTACTCCCGCAGCAGTGCGGAAGAAAGGCCTGGTGATGCACTCTCATGAATCTGACCACCAAGAAACTCCGGCGCAGCAGGTGTGCGCTGAAACACATGGGGTCACTGTGAGCGGGAATGGACTTGGTAGCAATGAGTTTGGGTTGGCTGGGATATTGATCGGGAAGTTGCCGTGTAGTGTCGCCAGGTAAGGAATGATCACTGGGCGTGGTGAGCATGTTGGAAAGGGGCAAGTGGGACACGCTGCATTGCCCTGAGACATCTGTGGGCAGCCAATGGCAGGAGACCAGGGTTACAGGCCTGGCCTCGCCATTCCTTAACAGTGTGATGGCCTCGGGCCTCGGGTCCTTCCAGCCTTCAAGCGAGGGCTGCGTGGGGGCTCGATCTTTGTTCGCGTGACGTCACCATCTCGACGATGGCACTGTTAATCATCACGTCTCCTTACAAGGCACTCCTCACTTGATACATGTGTCTAACACACAATCTCAAAAGATAGGCGTTATCGTTCCAAATCCTTCCAGAAATATACATCGGATTCTCCAAACAAGCTGGTGAGTGCGGTCGTCAGTAATCTTTTATGGATGAGAAAACGGAAGCTCCGCATGGTCCATGCATCCTGTGACAGCACACAGTCAACAGGTGCAGGAGCTGAGACTATACCGCGTCAGCCTCTGCGGTGTCTGGCATTTCCTCAGCGGTGCGCCCGCTTTCATCCGGAACATACATGTTCGGCACGCTCTCTAGCTGCACAAACAAGACAGGATTGCACCAAAGGAAAATTAAATTTGGCAAGGCATTCAAGAGCTACCTGACTTTTAAGACCAGCAATGAGTGGATAGCATGGTGCGGGTGGGGGGAAGGGCAGCGGGGGGGAGGCCAGTATGGAATGGAACATTGTCAAGTGCTCATAGTTGGCAAAAGCTGAGCTTGAAGGTGTAAACAGGTGCCCTCTCATGGCCTCTCTGGAGGAGGCTCTAATGGCCTTAGCCCTCCAATGTGGGGCTATCATAGGAAGCTGGGGACAAGCTGGCCGTGGACTGGGAAATGGAGTATGTTCACGAGTTCCATCAGCGTAGAAATGAAGGAAAGCCATCTTTGTTTTAAAATGTCTAAGAATGCACACAGCTCACAAAAGCAGCCCTAACCATCCGCTCCACGTGCCCCAACCATTTACAATCACTGTGCTTTATGGTCAGGACTAGGAAAATAGTATTTGATTTTCAGGAGAGAAGCAGCTCCATATTACTCATTGGTTCTGAGAGAGGGGGATGGCAGGATGCCAACTTCTGATGGGACGTCTTGGTTCGGATTAGTCAACCAGATGCTTTCTCAGAGGGGAGAAGGGAAACCTCCCCCAAAGCCATGGTTCTTAGCCTTCTGGGTTATAGAGAACTTTAGGATTTGCTGAAAAGTGAGTGACACTCAGAAAAATGCACAGATTCTCATGGAATATGGTTAAAATAAAGTCCACCTGTGGCATTCAGGGGGAAAATACCAGCCTAAAGGGGTTTGCATGACTTTATTTGCAAATTTTGGAGATTGAATTTAAAGTATGTCGCTTAATGTGTGTGCCAAAAAGGCAAAGCAGTCTATTTAAACAGCAAAAAGGTTAACAGAAAGAAACCACCAACGATCCTGAGAAGGCAAGTTTGGTGATATGCTCTGAAAGTTCGCAGGCTTTGGAAACCCCGGGGAACAGTTCTATTCTGCACACGTGGGATCAACCAGGAGTCAACAGACCCTGAGCAACTAAGGACCACAAAATGAGTCACTTCGTAGACTTTCCACTAGAGGGCACTAGACTCATTCTTTTAAGGAAGGTGCCAGCTGCTGGGTTTTCCCAGCGCTGCAAACATAAGGTCTCTTTGCTGCCTGATAGTTTTTATGATGAAAATGTTAGCCGGTGTTTTTCCCAAGGAATTTGACTAGTTTGACCCCGTCCGCTTCCAAGAGGCAACCGTTTGACAGAATTTTAAAAATATAAACAGAGATTAAAACACATGCCTTTAAGACCTTGTTTATGATTTTCCATTATGTTAAGAGCTTACATAATAAAATCTTGGAATTTGTTGTCTAGCAGACAAATCATTTCGCCAGCATGAAGGTAAAATTAAATGGACTTAAACCATATTCCAGTACCCCTTGGCATAAGCACTTTATAGCTCTTTTATGTGTGCGTCTGTTTTGTGTCTGCCCCCGACCCCACCACCCACCCCCAACCCCCAACCCAGATTGTTATTCTCCACGTAAGTGAGAGATGTTTTCAAAGGAGCATTTCAAATGAATCGCAGAGCTTTCTTATTTTAAAATGCCAACCATTTGTTTGGGGCATGTGGGTTGGAACAAAGCAGCCCTTAAACTAGACGTATGCATCTGAGATCTAAAATTCAGAAGGGGCGATGCTTTAGTCTCTCTAACATCCATTCCCCAAAGGTTGCCGGCCCCAGAGATGGTGGCAAACACATGGCTTACTCGGGGTCCCCTGGTTCCTCAGGAACTGCCTGTGGTTTTTCCTCTGGGGCCTGCTGGCTCGATAGCCATTCTCCGCACACGTGCACTCTCTGTCCTTGTCAGGGAAGCCACGAGAGTAGAGGTTTCGTGTGCTCTGCCGAACCGCGAGCAAGTCACTGGAGCCTTTGCACTTGTGGATCCGAAGCTTGCCAGATGTGTCCTCGATGCACTGCCACTTCTACAAAAGGCAACGCGAAAGCGGGTTACGGTACTGATCCAGGTGTTATTGATTAAGGGCTGTTACTTTAGATTCTAGAAACCCTGGCAACCCCGTGAAAGAGAGTGAGTGAGGAAAGGCAAGCTTGTAAGTGACCCTGCAATATTTCGAGCCCCAATTATGCCTCTCACTGCAGGCAACTACAGATGACAATGAAATCACTAAAATGCTGAACTACCTAAATGACACGAGAGCCAAAAAACGATCCATAAATCCTCCACCTCCAGACTAAACAAGAGTCTTGAATGGAACATGTAAAAGCTCTTAATTCGCCCCGGCCCAGAAGCACAGCTGTCGAGCTGTTTTCTCCAGATCTTTCCTTTCGGAAAAACAAACTCAGCTGCTTTGTTCTCTGCCTCTGAATTTCTAACGGGAGGCAGGGAAGGGTGGCTGATGAGGTGGGTTTAATCTGAGCCCATCACGGGACGAGCCACCATGCACATAGCCCAGATCCGAAGACCCGTGTCTGGTTTTCGCTGGTTCCTCCTCGTCCCCATCTGCAAGCACTGCACCTCCCACAGTACCCGAGGGTGGGAAGGGAGTGCTGGTCCACCTGCCAAGAGAACACGCGTGGGGTGTTTACGCCGCCCTGTCTGATCCTCAGCTACATTGTGTTCAAGTCAGTTGCAGTCATCTCGGCCACAACAGGGAACAAAAACAACTCGCACGTACAGGTGCCAAGTGTTCCTCGACGTTGCTGCTGCTGCTTTTTGTTGGCTGGAAAGCCCACACCCTCGCCCCCTTTTGGGGATGGGATTTAAAAACAAATTCACTGGAGCAAGAGAACCCAAATTTGACATTGTAACCAATAATAAGGCTGCAACAGGTGGCATTGATTTCATGCATCCTGTTGTGTAATCACCACCACTATCTTGTTCCAAACGATTTCCATCACCCTAAGCAATAACCCCAACTCACTCCCCACCACTGAGTCAATTCCACCTCACGGCCCCCCTCTAGGGCTCAGTAGACCTGCCCCTGTGGGGTTCTGAGGCTATAACTCTTCACAGGAGTAGAAAGGCTTGTCTTTCTCCTGTGGAGCAGCTGGGGGTTTGAACTCCTGACGTTGTAAGTAAGCAGCTCCCCTGTGTAACTGCTACGCCACCAGAGATCCCAACAGAAACCTGGGGCCCCTAAGCCCTGATAAACGATTCTCTCTATACAAAGGCCTACTTAAGATATTTCCTACAGGGATTCTTTTTCCTTTTGTTGCAGGAGGGTTCAGTGGTTTTCGAGTCCCAATCTGTCAGAAATCAGGGCTCTGCATCCACGGAAGGTGAAGTCTGGCCCAGGGTCCCTGTTGGCTTTGTCAATAGGCAAACGATACTCCTGTTCAGAATGGGCCGCAGCCATTCCTAAGGAAGCAAGCGCCAGAGCAGGCTGTCCGTTTTCTCCTAAGGGAGCTGTCTGCCTTTAATAAACGTGAGCCCTCAGAACAGCCTTTGAGTTACTATTGTAGAGTCCCCCAGTCCCTGATATTTAGAGCCTGTCTCTGATTTCACTTTAGCCCCTGCACACTCTGCAGCTACTGAATTTGGTTATGTCAAACCCTATCGGGTTACAAGCCACGTGTGGCTTGCTCAGACTGCCTTGAAGGTTCGGTGTTACCATCCAGAGATGCAGGGATGGGGTGGGGGTGGGGGGGCAAAGCAACTACCTGCCTCTTCGTGAAGCTATGGGAGGCGCACAAACAAGACCACTTAGTGAAGTGGTCCTAAGTTAAATCTAAGTTAGGATGGATTTAATTGAAAAAGGGGAAATCAACTTGCTTAAGTACTCAGAAGTTATGTTAAATTAGTGGTTCTCAAAGTTGCCTGGACACTGGGTGGGGGTGGGGGGGAGGTGTCTAAACGCCTCACAGGTGATGCTAATCTGCATTTGGGGTTAACCACTGTTTTCTGTTAGCAACTGGTTACTGGACCTCTTTACAGCTGGCCCCCACGTGCAGGGCAGAAGAGATATACAGAGGTCTAAATAACTCAGATGGATTGAGTCTTTGAAAGATATGCATATATTTGGGTGTGTGGGTGCGAAATGGAAGCCGTCTCAAGTAACTTACTGACCTAAGCATGTCAGAAAATGATCCCATTTGAGAGCTTACTGACTTACACTTGCAGGACAATGTGTTAAAACCCAGAGAGGAAAGAATTATTGACGGGTGCAAATTGTAATGTTGGTGAAGAATAGGAAATAAACCACGGACTGAGAGAAGAACAAACCTATGAGTCTCAGAAGAAATAAAATCAAAATGTTCCTGAAAAGTGGAACCAGGCGGAGCCTTGGACTTGCTCACTGGATGCGTCGTCACTGCTGCTGTTCTGACGCAGAGACCCACTGTACCCCGAAAAACACGGGAAAGGCCAATTGCTGGAAGACGACGTTTGCTAAAGGTCCAACAAAGCCAACGAAACTTTCGAGAAGATGGATGGACACCACAGTCATAACCCTGGACTCGATCAAGGATCATGAAGCTGGTGCAGGCCCTGGCAACACCTGCCCCTGTTAGATGCAAGGTGCCCACGAGTCAGTGCTAGCTCAATGGCAACTGACAAGAAACCATGCTTCGCCTTACTCTTGCTCCATGGCCAGTGCACAAACGATAACTTACAACTGAACACAGCACCAGGTCCTGCCATTTAATGTGGAGACCAGTGATCAGCAGGGCTGGGCTGGGGGTACTCCTAGATAGGCCTAAGTAGTGTGAGGGCACAGAAGCGGATCAGTCACCTCATTAGGAAGTCAGCATGGAACACAGACAGTTCTTGTGGATGGAGAGTTTCCTCAGAATAAGTTGACTTTTCTAAGCTTCCAGAACGTTCACAATCAGTCGTGTTGGGGTGTCCATCAAAACGGTCTTAAATCCAAATGGTTTCTGACGTGCACCCACTGGGGCGTGCCTCTCTCTTGCGTTCGGGACCGAGGAGTTGACTGCTTCCTGACAGGCAAGCGACAGGAGCGGGGCCACGGTTCACAGCCAAGTGGAAGCTGGGAGAGGGCTCCCCTGACTAGCAGATGTCAAAAAGTCTGGCTAACTTTACTCTGAAAAATCATGGCCCTTTGTCTTCGGGGATTTCTAGTTTATTTGTCAGCTTTCGTACGGATTCTTATTTTTAAATTACTTTTCAGTAGAAACCTTCCTTCATTTCATAACCACCATCATTAACAAAATCTGCTCCTTTGCCTTTTTATCAATTTTGGCTCCAAAACACTGAGGGAGCAAGTATGTTCCTGCAGAGCGCCAAGGTTACAGCAGAGGTCTCGGTGGCTGAGCCCAGTTGAGCTGCAACTTGCGTTTCCCACGCGCCTGATTCCTGGTTGGTTTCCTATGGGAAAGGGTGTTTCCTGTCTGAAGAATCGAATGTAACCACACCCAAGAGTTGGCCCTGTCCAAAGAACACATGAAGCTGCAACCACGGGCCCAATAGAAAGCAAACGTCTAGAAAATAATGATGGCAGCATATGTACTAGTATGCTTGAGACGATTGATGTTTGCATTCTTATCAGAGCTGTACGAGCCCCCAATAAAATGATCTTAAAAAACAGAGCCGATGACGGTATCACACAAAAGCAAATATACGTACATATATGGACATATATGTACATATGTATGAGAAGGCACACACACCCGTGAGTAGACTCAGGAACACTTTACCTCGGCAAATACCTTAGTCAAGCAAGAGGCCTAGACAAAATTACTCATGAGTTTCTTTATCATGAATCCTATGGAAAAGTCCCTTGACCCTCTCAGACAATTAATCAGCTAGAGGCTTTGCAAACCTTCTTCCCGGCCAGCAGCCTAGCAATGTTAATGAAATGTAACCAGCACCCATTTGCCATAGTCATTTCCGTGTCTGAGATCATGACAATCTTTATGACTGAGCAGGAAGAGCTCGACATAGCTGCAACTAAAATACTCAGAGGGGCCATGGAAAGGAGGAGAATTCTTTAAAAGTATAAC